GTATTAATATTTTTTTATATTATTATTTTTTATATGTCATTATTTTTTTTATCATGTTGTCTTCCACGTATATTAATATTTTGACATGTCATCATGTAGCCATTAATTAATAGGATACATCATGAGATTTTTAATGGAATGACCAAATTGGAACTAAAATGATAAATAGTATGGACCAAATTAAGGATTTTTTGAGTTGAGAGATTAAATCGGGGTCCATATAATAGTTGAGCGACAGAAATGGGGGGTTTAACCTTTGCAAAATTTCATGGGGCTTAATTAACAAATAGTCTATTAACAATGGACTTTTCAACTATTTTGTCTATTAACTATATTTTATACCTAGGTATTCTCTTAACTTTTAAAATTATATCAAATTGGTCTACTGTGTTAAAGTTCCGTTAGTGCAGCTAACAGAAGTACACGTGGCACCAACAGTGGTGCCTACATGCAACCAATTAAACTGCCACGTACGTGCCTATTATAGACCATATGGATTTTCAATTACTAATTTAAGAGAAAAGGTCCAAGTAAAAATGTTAATTTTGTATTTTTTTTGTTTAATGGTGTTAATTTTATTAATTTTAAATAAGGATTTTAATTTTTGATTTTTTTATTTAAAAATGTTAACTTTTATTTTTTTCTATTTGAAAATGTTAATTTTTAATTTTTTGCTATTTAAGGATTAATTGAATGGTGATATTAATATGACAAACAAACAATTTAAAAAAGATTAATATTTTTAAATAGAAAAAATTGAAAATAGTTATCCTTAAATGGAAAATTTTGAAAGTTGACATTTTTAAATTCAAAAAATTGAAAATTAGTATCTTTATTTAGAGACTGATAAAATTTCTATATTTAAATAAAAAAATACAAAGATAGCATTCTTATTTTGCATCTTTTCTCACTATTTTAATAAAATTAATTACCCTCTTAAGTGCCTACGAAAAAAGTGAATTTATTAGAGCACAGTTTAAAACAAGGTTAAAGCCCTCTTGATCCTCAATAATATAGACCCTGAGTTAGTGCTTGAACTTTAAAATTCTTGATTTGGTCCCTAAAGTTCAAAAACTATCTCTGGAGTTGGTATAATAATTGAGGAACTAACTTAGGGTTTAATCAATTTAAAAACTTAATAGACTAATTAGGCATATAAAAAACAGTTAATAGACAAAATAGTTAAGAAGTCTATAGTTAATAAGTTATTTATTAAATTAAGCCAATTTCATTGTAGCAAACTGTAAACATAGTTTTATATGCCCCTGCCACTATTATGCCTTACATGAGAACTTGAATTTAGAATTTCTTGTTTGAGAAGAGATTATCATCAAATCGTTTGCGTAACTGCCCAAAAGCCCCCTTTTTCTTTTTCTTTTTTTTGTCTCCTAAATTTTTTTAGCCATCATACAGCACTAAGTTAACAGACCATTTTTTATACATTAAACATCGAGAGATCCATAAATCTTGATTTCCAAATATGGCCGGTGATACTCAGGCACTTCACTTCACCATACGTCTATGACTCTATCCTAGCTAGAAGCCAGGGCAGTGCAAGCCCATACTTCAGGGTTCCCATTGTTCCTATCGTTTCCCTTTATATGGTTGGCAATTATGAGACTATGAGAAGTGAAAAAAAAAAAAAAATTCTAATTCGAATATTTCCTTGGAAATTGAATTGACTTGGTAGTTGCTCGTCAAAAAATGAATTTAATTGGGAAAATTACCTTTTAGCTACTTGTGGTTAGGGATTGGTGCACATAAAAACCCAAGATTTTAAAATTTACACATAAGCACCAGGGGTTGTATTAAATACACTGCACATAGCATAACTACCCTAGATTATATGAAATATCCTAAATATCCTCCCCTTTTTTTTTTTCTCATTCTTTTTAAGTTAACGGCCTTGAGGGTATTTCAAGAAATTTCAAGTGGTTCTTTACATGTCGTGCAAACCTCAAATGTTTATATGCACATTTTGAAATCTCAATCTTTATTTGTACATGCCCAAAACCACAAGTATGTTATGTCCACATTTTAAAATCTTAAGTTTTTATGTGCACTTCTTGAAACTACATCCTAATAAACCCTTCTTTTCGTCCCCCAATCTTTCTAAACTTTTACAATGAAGCCCTTGTAAACTAACTTCTTTTGTGAATTAACCCTTGAAACTTTGTTCTTTATGACATGTATCAGCCCAATTTTACTGTTTTAATTTGTATTAAAACAATAGCATTGAGTTTATATGTGTTAAATTGTTTTGTTTAGTATAGCTAATGCAAATTTGTGAGCTACAAGACAAAAGTGTTGATATTAATGTATTAAATGTAATTTTTTT